GGACTGACAATTAAGACTAACAATGTAGTTTTATGCAATGAGGTTTCAAAATGATTTTACTCTCCACAATTAAGAGACACTGCTACCTTTATGTCAAACATACGTATACTTACGCAACGAAAATCAAAGTATTATGATGCATGGATCGAGTAAATTGCTTACATTTGACCAATTTATATATGTTATTGTGTTAAATAATAAATTATTTTTAAAATCTACTGATGAATAGCTAGTTCCTTCCCAAAGAAAAATTAGTATAAAGGTTGTTTGACCTGCTTTTCGCAACTCGATCATATTGGTAGGATGACAGAGAGGAACGCACCTAGTCCGTAGTACATAGTATGCATGATCATTTCCAGAGGAGGACCGTGGACGTGTTACGTTCCCAGACGTTTCGCCGGCATCGTAGTCGGCATCGTCAGTGAGTCTCGCCATTCTTAGAACCACAAAACAACTCGTCAAAGAGACAAGTGAAGCCGATCCATTGACCAAACGTGTCCTAAACACTTGTGGTAATTCCCCTTCTGCCCTGGGCTATTCAAATTTCCTATATCCTTCTATCACACCTTCAATATGACAATTGTTTCTTGCTTATTTAAATCTAGTGTGGTGTGAACTTTCGAGCGGCTTTCATGGGAACCCTCCGCACTCCACGCTGGCCTTCTTAACCCCCTTCATCCTTGTGCTGGGAATGTTGATCAGAGACTGCCATATTGTTATACAATCCTCCTTCCCTAAGTCTTATCACAGTCTCTCTCTTGCCCCGTAAGATCTGTCGACTCTCCATGCTTCACATATTTCACTCGACTCCTGCCTTCCTATCTGTCTTCTTTTTGCTAATCTTGCTGTTGCTTGGTATTCTTTGAGTTTCCTCAGGCAATATGCAAAGATTTCGCTGATCCTGCCTTCGTCAAGTCTCCTTTTCATTAGATTTCTCTCGGTCAGTATTTCGATGTCCTCTCGGATCCTGCAATTATCTCGTATTTTCACCACATGCAACCAACCCTTCAGTCGATTTCCAGTCGATTTCGTGCCCCGTTCGTACAATGTGTTCTGCTCTTTCGGATCTTTTAGTATCCATGTTCCAACAGAATCTTTGATGTTCCTTGATTCGTAGGTCAGTTTTTCTTCCTGTTTTATCGATATACTTTTGCTCACAGTTGTCGCATTCGATTCGATAAAATCCCGAGCAATCAAGTTTGTTCGTCTTTTCGTGTTGCTTCGGTAGACTGGTGGAAAGTGTTTTATTCTCCTTTGTTATCACCTTGATATTCGATTGCCTTAGGAATGGTAGCAATTATTGGCTCATTTCTGAGGAGGGCAGGTAAATCCACTTTTGATTTTCATCTTGATTCCTGATCTGATTCTCATATAGGTCAAGTTGAAATCGCCCCTTAATAACCACTACATCTTTTTCTATTAATGCTCTGGGATATCCGTTACTAAGGCTAATCCGTGTCAGTTTGTCTAACTCCTCGTCCCAGAACTCATTGTCCGTTAGTCATAAGCTTCTGATTATA